GCTCACTCTAAGTCCTCACAAATACCCATCTCACAAGACTTTCTAGGTAAGTCAAGCTCAAAAACAAACAGAGCCTGCCTGGAAGTTGTGACACCAGATTACCTATTTCACATGTAGAACCAAGCTGACAGTGATTTGTATTCCTCTAAGCCCTTTACTTTCTCTGTCAAGTTTCAAATGGTTCCCAGGCAACTGTAACAACATGGACTCAATCACTGCCTGTTTGCTGCTCTGCTCCATCTGGTCCCCCTTGGCATCATCTCAAAGAGGATGTTTCTGGTGAATAAGTAACATATCCGGGGTTCAGAGAGTTTGTTTATGTATTTCTGACATAGTGACAAATTAAACTTCTTTGCTGAAAGCTCACGGCTGTTCTGAAACCCCTAAACACAGCTGCTCTAATCCCCTTGAAGTAAGTTACTATTGTGGTCACTTAGAAATATTCTTATTCATGCTTGGTTAGAAAACTAATGCTGATCCACCTTCACTTTGTACTAAACATTAAGAACAACAGATTTTCTCTAAGTCAAGAACTAAATTAATTTATAAGTATGGTTATCAATAAACACAGACATTTCCTACTTTACTTTTACTGCATGTCAGTAGTAAATTTTTATGTACACATATACATCATTCAATTCCATTACACCCCCAAATTCTCCCAAATCCTGCAAATAAAGCAGGGAAGAAGGGCTGCCAGCAGAACACTGCTGTTTTGATAATCTAGGAATTTAGCATTAGCAGATGTCTTGGCTACATTAAGCAAGAAAATGCATTTTAAAACCACTTTATGGTAGAATTTTTTAAAAGGTTTTGAACTTCTACACAAACATATTTCATGAATACAATTTGACTTGGTTGTATTAAGAGGCTATTTCTTACATTGAAGATATTTTTCCAAAAGCTTTACTAAGTTCATCCTGAGAAACTGAACAAGTATTGCTAATATCCTCTTTGAGCAAAATGACAGCTTTGATCAGATCTGTGCCTCTCTTTCTGCTACATGATCTGTTCATCAACCTGATACCTTCTGACCATTTATTCCTAGTAAGCCCCAAAAAAGTTCTACTTGCTGCAGTAAACTTCTTTAGGCACTTGTCATGGATTTATTATTTCACCCTTATCCATCAAATAGAAAACCAGACATTCTAATATGTTATTTCAGGATTCCTGAGAAGTTTGGCTTAGTTAGAACTGTTCTACTTGAGTGATGACAACACTATTTACAGACATGAGTCTGTGATATCCTTAATCAAAGTTAAATGGCTCATCAAGTGACAAAAGTGCATTTTGATCAACTTTTCTGGTCTTTGAATAGTCCATCTACTTCATCACATGGGCAAAGAACAGCTGCAAAGGTCAACTTTAAGGAGAAAGTGAAATCACAGACTACAAACTATCTGATTTGGCAATGCATGATTTCATATTTACATACTACTTCCATTCCTTCCACTCTAAATCCTACTCTTTCCTTACATGCTGACTATTGCTTATGAAAACCACATTTATGGTGTAATGCAAAGAAAACTGTGAAACCTCCAAAACCACATCTGAATAAAATTTCCTTCTTGCAGTGCTGCCCATCTGCTCCTCCAGCTCTGACACTTGAAATGACAAATGAGAAAGCAAGCTTTTCAGAAGTTCAGCAAAACATCACTCCTAGCAGAATCTCAAAAGGACAATTTTCATTTGAATGAATATTTTGCTAATTCCAGCTGACAGCAGATCTCACAGCAAATAAAAAAAATAAAAAAAAATAAGAAAAAAAAAAGGGCCCAAAAAGTTTACAGTTTAAGTTTAAACAATTCCTAATATTTCTTTGGATCAAAACCAAAGTCACATGCCAGAGATTAATGGTAATTCTGGGGAGTGCCTGATACTCACTCATCTCTTGTTAAACTAAGAGGGCCTAATTGTTGCAAGAGACAATACATCACTTGTCTTCCTCATTCCAATTGCTTCTTCTTTGAAAGCCTTGTAATTCAGAATCTCAACACCTCTTCTGGTGATGTACTAGGCTAATGCTTGAATACCTCCTTTGACTTTATGGATTGTGGATGCAAGCCAATGAGTTTAACTCATTTTACCTCTTAATCCAGTGAACTTTTATGCATATGATCTGAACTATGTATAACACTCCGTCTCTGAAAATCCTCACACAAAAAAGAAGTCCTTACTTATTTTCAGGTACAGAGATGATTATGAGTGCTATCAGAGGCAAGAGGGAGAGTGGTATAATGAAAGAAGACTACAGCAAGGGTCAGGGCAAAGGGAATTATTCTGAGAGAGGTCCTGATGGTAAACTTATACTAGTTCTGCACGCAATTAATGACCTTTGTGTCTGCTGAAATGCAGAACTTAGGTTATTCCAGAAAATCTGTGGCTTATGTGCATGAAAATATGGTAATTGAAACAGTCCTGGCTCCCCCACAAGAGTATCACAGCTGCAGAAGTCTCTGCCAACTATGGAAACTTTCATTAGCCTTCCTAACATCACAGGCCAACATTTATATAAACCTCTTGGGGGAGAAAAAAGAAGATACAAAATAGAATGTTTAACCTATTGACTCTATGAACTATTTCAGCTGAAATGCCGAGAATGAATTACACAAGTATCACTACCACAGTAGCATTCTCTTATGACTCAAATTCAGAGGTGGGGCTTTATAGAGCCTGAGTGTGAGCATAATGTCCAAAATGTCTGCACTGGCCTCACACCACATTTAGAACAGTGGCAGAGGTTCTACTTTACTGAATAACTAGAAGCTGATCATGGAGAGAACACAGGGAAAGGTCACCACAGGAAAAAAATTACCCAAACAACTGCTGCCCCACCCCCAAACAAAAGAACAAATATGCTGAAATCTGCACGTAATTTTCATCACATTTTTATCACAGTGAAACAACCTTTAATATAAGGAGAAACTTGTGTGCCACTTTTGCAGAAACCTATACGAGCAAGTATTTGTGTGCATATGAACAGCTCCTTTGGCTTCATGCAAGTCCTAGCAAGTTCAAAGTCTTAAGTACATCATGATCTGCAAGCTCTAAGGTAGAAGAAAGGGAGAACTGGGAAGGGACTGTATTCTAGTCTGTTCTTTTAAACCAGGCCTGCTTGTATTTACATTGAGGGCAATGGATTTGTGAAGCTCAGCAGAACTATTATATTTATAAACCTTGGGTTTTTTACCCAGAAATATTGCCTCCCAAAAGGTGGATAAAAGGAAACATTAAATTTACTCTGCTTCAATGTTGTGAGGCACCACTATGGAAGCTCTGTAAGCTAAGTGAGAAAGGGATGTGATTTTGACTCCCTTACCAGCACACTGTAAATATGTCTGCTTTTCAAACACGCAAATGAAATCCTCACGTTTTAGCAGTTTATGTGCAAATATTATCCAAGGCAACTCTGCAGGACTTATTTGTTCAACTTTTTCCTTGTATTTCTAGTGCATCGCTCAAAGACCTCTGAAGCTACAATCACTTCATAGTTGCTTCGTTTGTTGCTACCCATAGGTAAACCAAATACAAGATACCAAACAGAGCCACTGCAATCCTGTTTTAAAACACAAGGGACTTGCCCAGGTGCAATGGCTCTCTGAGCACAGCACCTTCTCAACTGCACTATTTAGACTACATGAGGCTTATGCTGTTTGGTCACTAACCCTTTATGCATTAGGTTATTAATCTATATTTTCCAGAAGAAAACCCAGTGATTTTGCAAAACAATTTCAATTGCTATTAAGCTAAGTTTTCAATTTGGCATAGGCATTTAGTGGCACTAAATACTGATGGAAGATGCAGGAATAAAGAGTGGAACAATTTATAACAGAGTGTATTGATCCAATTATTTTCCTGCCTTAAAATGCATATGCTCATAAACATTTGATTTTGGGCACTTCCAGTAGATATCAGACTCAGAACAGCAGACATCTACCATGAATAAAACTCCTGTTGCAGTTCTTCATTCTTAAACTTGCAAAAGACAAATACATGATTTGTAAAATCCCGCACTTGTAAAACTGACTTAAATAAAACATTTCAAGCTACACAGTAAGTATGCAGAGCTTCAATTGATTTATTGAGCTGTATTTTTGGAATTACTGTAGTTTACCTTTGAGCACTCTGGCACCAGGGAAAAGAATTCAGTGACATTACTTTCTACTGTAAAATCATCATGCTTCTCAATTTTAAAACCCTGTGCTTCTATTATGGACTAAGGAAGAAATTCATCATCAAGACAAGAGATTTATATTGACATGTAAATCCTCAAGCACAATAAGCAACACAGATGTTAACAACAAATATAAGGTAAAACTACTCATAAAACAGGCACCTGGGCAGTGCAACAGGTAAGGTAAGGAACTATTTCCCATAAGGAGAGCTAGAGCAAAAGACATTCTATGGTTAGATGGTCTCTTCATCTGCCTGTTGGGAGTTACAAAAGCTCTCCTGACCTACCTCATATTCTAATTATCTTTAGGTCCTTTACTGCTCCTGAAAGGGTGATGAGACTCTAGCTCTAGCCAAGGATATGGAGAAGACTCACTCAAGCACATGGAATGCAGTTAAAAGGAGACATACTTTCATAGGAAAAAGTAATCTATGCTTTTTAGGTCCTGATTTTTAGGAATTGCTTTAAGTATTATAGGTACAAGATTTTTTGGCGGAAAATTATTTCTAAAGGGCATGTTTCTTCAATGTTTTTTTTGTACAGCAGCAATCATCCCAAAGTGCTGTTCTCCACAGCATCAGTGTGCACAGGAATTGCAAAGGAGTAAGAGAACTCTAGCTGACAAAACAGTCTCTCTGCACAAAAGTAAAAATGCTTCTCATCAAGCAAGATTCAGATTAGTCCTATCATTATCTGTGTACTTCATGCACAAACACAAAGTCAATACATAATAAGGTTCAGTATGTGAACAGTGTTGGAAAGAGTAGAAATTAAATACGTATGCAAATATAATTTTGGTTTGCACTGTACTGTTACTTGAACCTACCTTTTCCTTGATATTTACAGGAGAATTGATTTCTGCCATCTTTATTCAGAGGAGAGTAGTGTCTCTGAAATGAGAAAAATATACAAGAGATTAATTTGGAGGTTTTAGTCTCAACCTGTCAAAGCTACACCTGTCATGACTAATTGTACATGCTTACCTGTAAGCATTAAAGAAAAATGAGAACACAATGTCCTGCACAGCAGTGCTCAATCCTGTCAAAAGGTAAAGCTAGTCTAAATTTCCTACCTTCCCCAGATTAGTTCTGCAAGCCTAATAGCTATGAATCTGGATAAAAGGCATATGTAAAAAAAATAAAAGCCATGTCGCCCACACCCTGTTCTGAGACTATAAAGAGCAGGAGTACCGCAGATGAACTCAACAGCTCCTGTTTTCTCATTCACCAGCATCCTCAATTTTTGCTAAAAGAATTTATCAATTAATGCAGTCACAAAAAGCAGCTAACTGTGCCAGGTGGTTGGGCTGACAAGTGCTGCACGGCTGTTGTTTGTTTTTAATTCATAACTAATTCAGAGAATTTAGTCACACAGCTCCCACTGAAACTAACAGGGTCTGTAGATTTAAATCTCTAAGTCTCTGAAAACTTGGCCACATGAATGGAATTTGCATATGATTAAGAAATCCTGCAATATGCTTTCTATTTCCAGTTATGTGGCTAGGTAACTGAGAGACACTCTATCACATGATGAAGAGTTAAACATAGGGAATGAAGTTCCATTGCCTATTCCTGCTTCCATCAAAACTAACTACCTTAAACTTCACTAAGGAACAGAGCTGAATCCTCACATTTTAAAATTAAATCACACACAAAAAATTACAGCAAAGACTAAGTCAAATGAAATAAAAGCTTGGTTTGGTCACTCTCTTTAACTCTATTGTACACTGATAAAAAGATATAGGTACAAATATATGAGAACAAACCCCTACATTCATTTTACATTTTTAAGTTGGAACATCTCCTTTTCCCCCCATTTAAGCATTTGCTATGTGGACTGATATGTGTTCTAAAAATTCTTCTAAATCTCTTTTAATGCTCTTAAAGAATCTTCCCTCAACTTCTTCTTTGAAACACAGAAGTTTAGTACAGCTCAAACACCAGAAATAAAGCACTTCTCTTGCAGTATTCACTGACAACTTTAAAATCTTATAATTAATTTCTGTAGGCACCCATTTTCTAACTAAAGAGATGAGAGCTGAGGAAGTATACGTGGAAGAGATAACAGGAAGAAGAAAAAGAAGTTCATCTGAGTTTTGGTCTGATGAGGAGCCAAAAGACAAAAGTAACCATTTCCATTGCCAGCTATTAAAAAGACATGTTTGAAATAAGTAAGGTTGTTCGTGCTGTCTCCATCTTACTACACCATGAACAGATGCTCTCTTAGAACTCAAATACCTTTTACCTCTATTAAGTCAGTGGCTCAAATGCTTAGCCAAGACTGGAGTCTCACTATGTTTGACAAGCCTTCCTGGCAGTTGTGTCACTGGGAAGGCCTTACTGTCTGCTGGTATCTCAGAGAGGAAGCTTGTCCTTCCTGCCCCTCCTTACATCAAGGAAAGAGCTCAAATTAGTTTCTTCGTCTAGCCTAGCCAAAGGCTAGAAGCAGAATTAAAAACATCTGGACAGAGCAGGCAGGAAGATCACTCCAAAGGTAAGTTCAGGGCAATCCCATTTCCAATATTTAGTGTGTTCCAATAACAAAAGAAAGGTGTTAAGAAATGCTTGTAGCCTGTAGTCCCTAGACAATTTTTTTAAATGTACTTCTTGTCTTTTGCTGTCAGCTATTTCTTGTGCCAAAGGGGCAAAGAACATGAGATATAGATGATAAATTTTCCCATGCAGGCTGGAAAAGTCAGTTCTAAAGTTACTCTAAATCTTCATCTCCCTCGCTGCTTCTCATAAAAGCATGACTTCTATCTAGTGACATCAAACCCATGCTGGACGGGTCCTATTCTAAGTTTAAGAGGTAACTGTATGGTAAGGAATAGTTAAGGAATTCAAGTGGTTTGCTCTTGTATATAGTATGGAGCAGATTTTGTAATGTTAAAGACAACTGATCAATGCACTCTTGCATACTGATTCAAATATACTTAATCCGATCCAGCACCTCATAACAACATTAACAAAAACGTTAATCTGTTCTTGAAGAACTGAACACACATCATATAAACAAGTTTACTAAGAGAGATAACAAACTCTTCTGGCCTTAAAAATGTATTAATCTATAAAAACCACTAAGTAATGGGAAAATATCTTTGTCACTTTAAATCCTCAGGTTCTTTTTCAACATATGCTATAAATTTTGTACCAAAATGGTACATTTTAAAACTGCATCTTGTATTAAGCAAATAAATCCAAATAACGATACCCTGTGAAAGCCTCATGCCTCTCAACTAAGGTTTTTTCAAAGACACTAGCTAAATAAATCTTGAAATTTAATTTTGTTGATTAAACCCTACTACTTAACCAATTCTACTCCTTGTAGCAATGCTCTGATTTAAAACCAGACATAAAAACTTCATTCAACATCTTGCCAGAATTTGATGTGTCTCTTCTTTGCTGTACACTGCAGGTGTTACTATGATTACAGCCTTCTACCAATAAATGTGGTGCTGATTCAGCTAGCTTGCAACTGCAAGCTATTTCAAAAAGACCTGGCATACTATATGAAACATACCCTCTGCTTCTTTCTTCCTTTCTCTTTTTCCTTATCCTTTTAAAATAAAGAACTAAGAGGATACCAGCTTTTTCAAATGGACCCATTTCTCTACACTTCACACACTTCATTAATATGCATTTTACAAATGTCAAAATGAAGATGCTAAAACTGAGTTGGAGCTATTTTTCATTCACCTTCTCCAAGGACAGATAATTGAAATAACATTTATAAAACACTTGCTCGTTTATATAACTCAGTCCAGCACTGTTTGTTACAGAAAATACAGATGATCCATTAAAAAGAAAATGTCAATGTTGCACTAATTTTTAAAAGCATCATCCTTTATGGCTCTACTTAATAGCTAACAAATTTAAATTTCTCATTGTAGCACCAACTGATTTATTGAGTAGTGTAACTAGTGTTTTTCCCTGGTGTTATTTTAATCTCAGTATTGAGCAATTACTTAGTTGCTGATCCTGTGGCAAGACTACAGCACATCCATAATTTTATGAACCAAATAGTCCCACTGAAGTATACAAGCTTTATCTCCGGGCTTGGATCTAAATTTGAGCTGCTACATTCTCACCCTCAGTTCTTCAGCAAAGCTTCTTTCTGTGAGAGTTCTGGAACATCAAAGTAGGACTCTCAGCTGAGCCCAAAAGACACCTAAAGCCAGTGGGTAACAGTACTTTACATGCCACCAACAGCATGCACACTAAAGAATGTTTGGAGAAAATTTTCTGACAGAAGATTTTCTGCACTGGCCAAGATTAAGTTAATACAAGTACTAAATTTAAAACACAGAAAACTTACTGTATATGAGAGATTCTGAGCTTGAATGTTAGCTTACATGCTTTGTCTTTCTCCACCATCTCCTGCTTGCATTTCTGCTCCTGAAATGTCACTGCAAATCATCCCGAAAGAAATCCAAGAATAAGAAATTAATGAAAAAAAAAACCCAACAAATTACAAAATCCCTTACATAATGGGTCATTAATTTCTGATACAAGTTTCCAAATGCACTACCTGCAGCAGGAGATCACTCTCAGTTTCTCATTACATGCTGACCTCAAATACTGACAGGGTGTTTTTTCTAAAGCTATTATACACATACCAATGAGATATTTCACTTGCCTTGTAAAATGAAGCATTTCAGCAGCATTCAAGGGAATGCTGCAGAGAAGACTGGACTACTTTTGGCAGAGTTTTACTTCTCTCCCCTACCAAATGAAGCAATTTGTATCAGTCTATGCACGTTTAAGATACCATGAACCTGAACCAGGTCATCTACAGTGCTGGCACATACTCTGTCCTGGTGACCTTAACTGTAAGCAGCAACGTCCAGCAGGCAGACAGTTACAGGAACGGCCTTTAACCACTGCAGAAAAATATGTCAGAGCTCGCGTGACACAGCCTGAAGTAGGTGGCTGCATGTTCAGCCTTTACAGAAGTTCCCTTTCTGTCTCCAAGCAGCAGTGAAACCCCACTGCTGCTGTGTTAAGCTTCCAAAGAATGCCCACCACCTTCCCACTGGTAGCAGCATCAGAGTTGTTTGGCCCACAGACACCTTCCAGCCAGCCAGACCCTCAGGTAAAGCTGACAAACACTCCATTCTATACAACACTGTGGATGGGGGGGATTGCCTGCATCTCAAGCATCAAAGAATCACAACAACTCTGTGTCATGCCACTGCTGCAAAACCTGGCACATTTAATTTCACACTTCAAAACTCTGTCAGATGCTCCCCACTCCTAACACAACAAAAAAAACATCTCCTTGCAAATACAGAGAGTGGAAAAGTAGTCTATGAAAGCATAAGTGTTGCCAGAAAGATACAATTTGTGAAAATACTCTGTGACAGTAAAGTGTGTCAGAGTAGAGACTGTGAGTGACACCTGCTCCACCACTTTTGACATCTGAAAATGCAGCTTTGGGAAGGGCGATCAGAAAACTCCCCATTAAACAACACCTAATGATCTGGTGTTGGGAGGATTTCCCATCTGTAGGCTTATGGATGAATGCCTTCCTACACCACAAAAAAGGTCATAGTTCCTCGTCTGCCCTGCAACTGTTTCCTTTTCTAAGGAAATACTACCCCAGCAAACCAAGAATTCCAGGTCTAAGTGACTTGACCATTGCCAATGCTTCTCTAATCCCAGTCACTGAGTGAGCTTTGTCTATTAAAAGAGAAGCTAGAGCTTACAATTAAAAGAGAAACTAGAGCTTACAATTTTGTCACTCAAATTTGTTCATGAAGTAGAACAATATCGGAATATGAATTTTAATTATTTTCTATTTTTAATTACACATCATTTTCTCATTTCCAAATAGCTCAGTCTAAACCCCCCAGCTCCTAAGAGCTAGACAGGTATGGACAGAACAAAGGAAT